TTTAACCTGCCACCAGCTACTCTCCATCACCTGCTCGTAGTGGAAAAGACAGTCAATAAGAGCTCCCTGTTGACCTTCTCCATGCCATCCCACCAACACCTGCAAGGTCCAGCTCTCCATGAGCTGTTTTTTTCTAGGACCCATTCTCCATGCAAAGCCCACACCGAGCAGGAGCCAGGCTCCTGGTGGGTGTGAACCATCCTGCTGGTCCCTGCATCTCCCATTCATGGTGTGACAGCACTGGGGCATGACTTTGTCACTGTGGTTTTCTCACCTGCTGTCACATCTGCAGCACTTTAGTGCCATGGACTATTCAGGTCATGCTGTAAAACAGGAACCTTTTAAAACAAGGATGGCCCTGCCAACTGCAGCAGAAAACAAGCCTGCTCACAGAATCTGGCTCCGTCCTGGGAGCCAGGGCCAGAATTTAGATTGGACTGGGTCCATTTTCCTTTGTGCATTTGTCTTTTTTTATTTTCTTGTTTTACTTGATTTTTTTGAGTGCTGCAGCCTGGGACCAGCAACTCTCCAAACAACCCAGTGATATCACCTTCAAGTGAGTCATGGGGAGGGCAGGGTGGAGAAGGGCAGGCAAGGACAGATCAGCAGATTCTGCTCACAAAGCCAGCCAAAAAAAACCCAGGATATATGTTTGGATGTGAGGAGGGGAGATGGCACCACTAGCCAACCAACCCAGGGTGTCACAGCTTTGGGGACCATACCCATGGCTCCAGAGGTTTGCAGCTTTCTGGGCTTTTTTCCCAGATATGAGCAGGGTGACATGAGGAAAGAAAAAATGTGTAGGCACACAGACAGTGTGCACCCAAATCTGCATGTCCTGCACACACACACCCTGAGGAGGAAACTCTTTGCTGTGAGGGTGGTGAGACCCTGGCCCAGGTTGCCCAGAGAAGCTGTGGCTGCCCCATCCCTGGCAGTGTTGAAGGGCAGGTTGGATGGGGCTTGGAGCAACCTGGGCTGGTGGGAGGTGTCCCTGCCCATGCAGGGGGGTTGGGACTAGATGATCTTTAAATGTGCCTTCCAACCCAAACCAGTCTGGGATTCTGTGGTTCTCTGCACTGTAAGAACACCAGATAAGTTGCTCTTTTGCTTTCACTTCAGAGCACACATCTGATTGGCTTTGGCACCACCACAAAAATGAAATTCAATCTTCAGACCGTGTTCAGTCTGTGACTTTGGTCACTTAGCATGGTGGGGGCAGGTGTTCCCTGAGCTCATTTGCAGTTTTCTTAATTTCTGAATGATCGTGAAGATAATTTTCTAGGGGTACAACAGGACCTGCAGTCCTTGCTCAGACTCAGCTCTATCATTAGGATTTAGACCCTGCGAGATGTGGAAGGACATTTTATAAAATGACAAAAGGCCCAAAGGCCTCAAACAGACTTTCAAGTCCCCCAGCAGTATTACTACAAAATTTACATCTATTAAGGGAAGACAAAGTCTGCAGCAGGATCTCCATAGGTGAACAGAGGGTCTTCTCAACAAGACACCTGCATCCCACCCTGCCTGGGATCATCCTACACTGAGATACAACCAGGATCCTCCACCCACCAGGAGAGAGAGCATCACTGAGTAGGTTGTCAGGGTGGAAGATGAACACCTCAGGGGTCTGTCACTACTGCACAGCCTGTTTCTGTGTTTCACATGTGGATTTGGTTATGCTGGGTGGAGACTTCTCTGCTGAGCCTCCTACCCCCAAATGCAGAAGTCCTGCTCAAGCAGGGCAGGTCAGGTCTCTAATGTCCTCTCCCTGAGAGGGCCCTGGAGTCTCAGATGCTCCAGCAAGGCAGAGGCTGCTGGACCCCAGCACACACACTGCTCTGCTCACCACAACAGACCACCCCGTGGGTGGAAATTTCACCAAGTTTTGCCATGAAGTGTTGAGCTGGCTGCCCAAGAGAGATGTCCAGAGGGCTGATTTGGAGTGAGTAGAAACAGCTCTTCTTTGAAACAAGACCGAGTTTCACAAACTTGCACTGTGACACAAGTCCTACAATATTTGAGTTTCTTGTTCTTTGCTATTGCCCTGTTCTGGTTTTGATGCTTTGGGGCCAGTTCATCAAAAAGTGCTCTTAGACTGACACATCAGGCTAAAGTGCTGGCATATCACTCTCTGATGCTGTGCCTGATGTTTCACTCTCATTTTCTATTTCTGGACCTTGGAAGAATCCAGCTGTGTTTCCTCAGCTCTCCATGTGTCCATTACTTATGTACTATCTTCCTCACACCTTAACATCAATGCTCCTATTTAGTAACTGCTGCAAACCCAGTCCCAAAGCCCTTCCTCTTCCAAAATATTGTTGCATGTCATGTGCATAAAGTAAGATTTTATTTCTTCCACTTTTTTAAATCATTCCCTAAAAAAACCCCACAGCTCTTCTTTACATGCAGCCTCCCAGTCCTTATCAAGAGAATCTGATGCTCCAGCATCAGACAAGCCAAGGGCCTGTTCTGGGGATTCCTTGTCTTGTTCTCTTCATCCCAGGGTGATCAAATGAAGAGACCATGGATGCACTCAGGACACATCTCTTCCAAGGGGCACAGTTATTAGCATGGTAATGAGGATGGTAATGAGGCCCTTGTCTTCAGATGTACACAAGGTTCTAGTGGGTGAAAATCGGCCAAAGTTGAAACTCTGAGAATTCTTTCCTTTTACATTTTCTTTTCTTTTTTTCCTTTTCAATTTGTCTTTTTTATCTGGATGCCAATGACAAAACATGCAGCACAGAAACTGCACAGTGCAATGAACCACTAAACACTAAATAGAAATGATTATTTCAGGAACCATCAGAGCAAGCACCAGTCTCTGAAGCAGCCTGGCTCAAGCAGTAATTACTGGTCTCATTTCTAAAGAGCCCCTTCTTTTGTTTGCTTTGTTACCCCAGCTTTTTGTTTTCTTTTCCTCTCTCTTAACATTCAAAACTTGCTGCCTGAATCTGCAGCTCTGAGAACACAGGGGTGATGCCAACAGGGTAATTAGTCCCACTCTCCAGTGGGGAAACTGAGGCAGGGAACCTCTCCCCAGCAATGGTATGAGCAGGGTTAGATGCTTTAATGAGCTGTGCTAGACCCAAATGCTCACATTGAGATATGGGAAGGTCAAGTTGAGGCAACTCAGTGTCTTAGGGCTGAGAGCTAGGGATCCCCTTGCACAGGGCTTTGGGTAGAGGCTGGTCCCTGGGAAGGAGGGAGTCTCCTTCTCTGGAGACTTTCAAGACCTGTGTGGATGCCTTTCTGAGTGATCTGACCTAGTGGGTTTTTATTCCTGCTCTGGCAGGGGGGTTGGACTCAATGGTCTTCGGAGGTCCCTTCCAACCCCTAATATTCTGTGATTCTGTGAACACTTAGGGGTGGTGTTTCTAACTGGGTGTTTCAAGAAGCCTGGTACCAACCTGTACAGCTCAGCCAGAAGGAATAACCCCCTTTAATCAGAGAATCATTTTGTTGGGAAAATACCTTGAAGATCATCAAGTCCATCAGTCAAGTCCATCAAAACAGCCAAGGTGGGGTCATTGCTTCTGTGAACCCCTGAGCCTGCACCACCAGTGGCTGCTCATTCAACTCTCAGTCAATGCTCATTCAATGCTGTTCTCTCCAAGAAGGCCCCAGGTCTTCCCAGAACTGAGGCATCAGTCCTGCTTCCTGGGCATGTTCAAAGCCACCTCCTGCACACACTGACAACCAGCCTGTGCTCTGGCTGCCACCTGGGCTGCCCTTCAGCAGGGGTTTGAGCTGTGTCTGTGCTTTCCCTGCCACCAGAAACCACCAGAGCTGAGCTCTGGCTTTAGTCACCCACGTCAAGCAGCCCACAAACCTGTTGCTGAGTCTCACTGTAATTCCTGCACTTTTTCAGGGACAGGAGGAATAAATCTTTGCTGGAACCAGTGTGCTGGGTTTCCTGGATGATGGTTTTTCCTCCAGCCAACAGCTTGGGGAGCTTTTATGCAGTGTCAGTCCCAAATTTCTGGCTCCTGGCACCTGTTTTGACATCAGGATTTTGAGCACAGGGAAAGTAATTATAATATCCAGAGCTAATGTTATTTACTAAAATACAAATTAACACTTGGTCACATGATGGCACCATTTGTCATCCAGAGCTAAAATTAAAAGAAATTAAGGCTGAGTCAGAAGGATATTTCAGAGCTGAGTGGGGAATGCTGTGATGGGACCATGTGGGAGCAACACTGACATCTTCTGGCTGCAGTAAAAATAAATGCTCTGGCTTTTTCACTGAGGAAAACACTAAGAACTTCCAGCACAAAATCATAAAGAGAGGTTAGGGTGGACAAAAGAGTTTTCAAGGAGCAGGTAGAAACTTGGAGCAGGGAAACTTGGGGGGTCACTGAACCTATTCCCCAAAATTATGCCCTCAGCTCCTGTTATTTGGCCTCAGAAAGCAGCCCAGCCCCCAGATGTGGAAGATACTTCAGAGCAGGGTGGCTCAACCCACAGTGAGGGGAACCAGTTTGGCCATAGGCCTGTTGAGTCCTGCAGGAGGACTTTCAGTCCATCCTCTGGAGTGGATCCTGCTCAAAACATAGTGCATGCTGGCCTAGGGGGTTAGCTCAGTGGTGGTCAGGAGAGAAATGTGAGAAAAATCCACCACCCCACATATACCCCTCACTGCTGCTCATGTGGCTGCTGCAGCAATTAACAGCCTCTCTTCAAGCTGTGTGTGCTTGCCATGGTGGGTCACAGCTGCATTTGAAGGTGCTGGGTCCATTGTTAGGAGCCCTTTTGCAGTAAGTGCAAAGTCATGGTGTTATCCATCATTATCACTTGAGGGGCAATGCTTTGCTGTCCTGCAGTGGCCAGATCTCCACTCTGGTGGCAATGGCATTGCTAGACAAGGACAATAGCAGATTCACACCTTCATCCCTTTCTGCAGGTCTCGTGTCTTCTAGACTGGGCTGACCACCACCCTTGCCACCCTCGCCCTTCAGATTCCTCTAACCATATTTCTCTTCATCTCCCCCAAGGTTCTTTCTTCCCATCCCTGAAGCCCTCTGAAATGGTCTTCAAGATCATCTTCTGGCTGGGATACTTCAACAGCTGCGTGAACCCCATCATCTACCCCTGCTCCAGCAAGGAGTTCAAGAGAGCTTTCATCAGGCTGCTCAAATGCCAGTGCCACCGGAGGAGAAGGCCCCTCTGGAGGGTCTACGACCACCACTGGAGAGGGGCCTCCATGAACAGCTCCATGCAAGACTCTGAGGCAGACCTGAGGCCCAGGATCAACACCCTGAACAGCTCCTTCATCTTCCACCCCTCCTTGCAGGAGAGAGCCCACAAGAGGCGAACGCTCAGCTTCAAGGGCTGGAAGATGCTCACTCCTTTCCAGAAACCAGCATCCACCCAGCTGAAGGAGAAGATGAACAGCCTCTCCAACAAAATCCGGGGTGGTTCCAGCAAAGGAGGGGTGACAGCCACCTACAAAACAGAGGTGGAGTCTGTCTCCATTGGGATCCCCCATGACTTCGTGGAAACCATTGACTACCAAACCTATGACTTAACAGACTGCTGCAGGCTGAGAGAGACAGACATTTGAAGCCACTGGGACAGCTGTGGGTGGTTTCTTTAGACATATCCAGCAGAAAGGTGAAGGGACACCATCTGTGGGTCTGTCAGGCAGGCTGGAAGCAGCAATCAGGTTTAAAATGCAGTTGCCCAAAGGTTCTCCAAGTATTGCCCGTGCAGAGGTCAACCCCTTCTCTGGGATTATGGGTTCCTCAAATAAGAGCCAGTGGCATATCCCATTTTAATGAGCCTCAGCAGGAGGGGAAGATGTGGGGTGGATATGGCCTTAGGACAAGAGCTGTTCCCTCCAGTAGATGGTTATCACTGATGTTGGAAGAAGCTGTGCAATGAAGGGAAACCAGGATGTCTCCTTTGCCTTAAAAACACCATCAGAAAATCTAACAGAAAGCTCAAACCCCAAAAGATGCCAACCCTGCCTTAGTACATGTGATCATGTGTCCATCCAGAGGCAGCACCCAGAATGGACACTGACAAGCAGTAGCTGGCAGATGACCCTTTAGATAATGGGTTAGGAGCTTGTAGGTCTACAGGACTGGGCAGGACTTCCAGCCAAGGCCTTTGCTTTGGAGACTGAGCAGACTGTGGTGTTCCAAGCTGGGTGGGGGGATTTTGGCTCTCAGGAACCATGTCTGCAGTGACCACAGCTCTGCCCTTTCCACATAACCTGGTTTTAGGCCAGAGGAGCAGCCTAGATGGATATGCTGATGTCAAAGGGTATGCAGGTGTCTCTTCTCTAGTTCCAACCTGTCATCCATTTCTCAATTCACTTTTCAGTGGAACACTTGAAACTCACCTTGCTGTAGAGTACATCTCTCCATGATACAGAGAGAGAAAGGATCTCCTTTTGGTCTTGGTCATTCCCAGGCTTTTCTGTCCCCTTCTTGCTCTTGTTGTTGTCTCTCTCAAACAACATGGAATAAAGATGCATCCCAAGGCTCTGCTCAGGTTTGTAGTCAACCTGTGCCATGGCTCAGGAAAGGTGGGATGGCTGAGTTGGGACCCATAAAGTCAAAGCTAAAGTAGTGCTGACAGGCTCTTGGAGCTCCTTCCTGTAAATGGATCTTCTCCCCAGCCAGAGTCCTGCCCACGACTCTTCCACCAAGTGGCTTCTCACGTACCAGATAGCCTTGGGTGGCTACCAACAATTGCCCTCGGCTATGCCTGCTACCATGGTGAAAACCAATGTGGATAAGGGGGCTTTTTGTCCTCCTCACTCACAGTCCCAGGGTGTGAGCTCCCCTCAGGAGGGGCTTCTTCTGAGGACCACAGGGAGGCTGGAAGTATCTCAGGCTCACACAAACCATGCTTTGTGACTCAGAAAAGTGGTTGCCCAAACTCCACCTGACCATGTGTTGCAGGCACTGGTTTTATTCACTTTCAGGCAGGCAACAAGCCATGGACAGACATTAGATTAAGCTGTGGACAGAGGTAGGAGACATGTAGGCAATGGAGGTGAGGTCTGGATCTGAGGTGCAGTGTCTCAAGCCAGGTGAGTAAAGGACAGGAACATGAAGTCAAGGGATGGAGACATGACACTGAACACATCCTGGGTGGAAACTCATCCACATCAGCACTGTTCCCCGACCATTTGCTTTAAAAAAAATACAAACAGAGGAAAAGTTGGACTTCTTGTATTGTTTTTTTACTCAGTAAACACTGAGACATGATATCTGCAGTTGGGCCACTCTCAACACCTTTTTCTCAATGAGAGACTCCCAGCTGGATGAATCACTGCATAAAGACTTGCAGATTTTGCCCACATGTTCTCCTTCCCAGCAGCAAATCCCACCAAAGCACGTGGGCACGTGAACCCAGACTTGTTACTGCCTGTATTTTAGCAGGTGACAAGTGTCTGCAAAACCAGCAAGAGGCTACCAGCTGGAGAGGTCCAACCCTACCAAAGCAAGAGCCTGGTAGCTCATGGGAACCTCTGTGGGAAAATGCATCTCTTTTTTCCCCCCATTTCTTTGGCCTTCAAGGGAAGTGAGACCCTACAGTGAGGATGGGGTGACACAGAGAGTCATTTTGCAGCTGCCACTGGTTCCCTGGGTGTTTTGGGGATTCTGGTGGGAGCTACTGGCACTGGGATGTAGCAAAGATGGCATCAGGGAGAAGGCAGTCACTGAAGAGCAAAAATGCCTGGAAGGTCAAGGTGAAATCATGACTCCTTCCTTTCCAGGATGCACATGCACACTTGCCATTCTCAGAGGGAGTCAATCCACCCAGATCTGAATTTTGGCCCCTGTTCTGGTGACACTGCTTTGCAGACCTCACACATGCATAATGTAGGCAACCTGGGGGCACAGCTTAGGGTGAGCTGAGATATGTTTCATCAGAAGTGAAAGTCTAGTCAAGGAGAAAGGTGGACACTTGACATTCAATGTTCTCTGGTGTTCAGGAGCAGATTTATCAGGTGCCTCTCCACAACCAGACACCCACAGCACATAGTAACTTGAGCATTCATGACCACAGAGATGTACACACACTTTGCTGCAGTTATATCCATAAATGTCTTCTCCAAAATGGCAGACACCCTCCTAGAAATGGAGACTTTGCAGGGGCTTTTAGGAGTTGCTGGCAAGAAGCTCATTCCCAAGAATGAGTTGAAATGTTTACTTACAGTTCTCCCTTTTAAATAGAATTCTTTCCTTTTTTCCATATTTGAAATATCTGCATCTACAGCCTTCAGCCCCTGGAAAGCATCCAAAAGGGGAAGAAAAATTAATCTGCAGGTTTAATGCCTCACCATCCCAATTCTTTTCAGACCTGTGGGGAAGAGAAGGAGGATAAAGTCTATTTAAGCACACATCTGCACACATCTGCACACACATAGAAATGCCCAAGCTCTGGCTCATTCACTCACTGCTTTTGATCAGGCCCTGAGAGGTAGTCTAGGTGCTGTGGGAAGGTCTCAAGCTCTTCTGAGCTGCATTCAGGCAAAATACTTGTTTCTCACCTTAGCCTGGATCCCCCTTTCATTTCACATCTTGCACCAGAAGAAGCAACTCCAGGGCTGGACTCTGAGGCTGTTTGTTAGAGCTTCATTTAGAGCAGGCGGGGCTGCATTTGCTGGCAGGGGAGGAAGGACAATATTGTGGGAAACATGACTAGAGTGTCTAAAATTGTACATTTCCCTCTGATTCCCTTAATGTCCAAGCTCTCCCAAGTTTGGGGAAGCGGGCTCAGACCTCAGGAGGTCAATTTGGTCTGATCCCCCTGACTGGGGGGATCCGCATGGGTGCGACCACCTGAGGCTCTGGCCCCAGTTCTCCTCATTTCCCAAGGAGACCATTTCCCAAAGCACCCATACCTTGGTCCTCCAGCCCCTCTCACCTCATTGCTCTGCCCGTGTGTCCCCATTGCACCACCAGACCTTGCTGCTTCGACAAACCAAGCGTGCAGGATGGTGAAGAGCAGCTTTTATGTCTGCAGACTCTCACGAGTCCTATTTAAGGGGGGTGGAAGAAGGTCCCTGTCAGCCTGAGCTGGCCTGCAGTTGGGTTGCATTATTATTGTTTACAGTGTGTATATAAGTGTACATTTTCTTTAGCAGACATTGGAATTTTTTTTATGTCTAGATTTTTATTTTTCAGCCCCAGATGTATTTATTAGCCAGAGTATTTCTGTTTTGTGACTCGAGTTCTGTCAGGTTGCTGTAAGCTCTATGAAACAGAATGCACCTATTTTTGTTTGTTTGTACCAAATACATGCACAAACCTGTCTAAAATGTTGCTGTGTCTGATTTTTAAAAGGGGGGCTATAGGGAGGAAGAAAAACTTGCGAATTATCTGCACTTGTTTGGGTTTCTTTTCTCAAAGACTTGTAATTTCACAAGGATATGTCATAGAATCACAAAGTGGTTTGGGTTGGAAGGGACCATGAAAGGTCAGCTAGTCCAACCTCCAGTTACTTCCACAGGGAAGAACTTATGGTAAGAACAAGCCAGAAGAGAAGACTCTCAGATTTGTGCCCTGAAGGGATGAAGGAGTCATATCAGCCATTTCTTCTCCAAGATGATCCCTGGAGCAAGAGGAATGGATGCAGCCACAACCCATGACAAGGCAGGAGGAGGGAAGGTTGGTGTGAACTGAAATTTCAGTTCATGGAAGATTAATCTGGGATTTTTTTGTTATTTTTTTTTCCTGAAATTAAAATTCCAGCATCACTCACAAAACCATTTCACCCCAGGGGAAACAGAATTTCTTGTGCTCCCATCTCACTCCAGGTGCTCTGCTTCACAAAATGCAGCCTGGTGGCACCACTACACACTGGCCAGTGATGTCTCAGGTCTGGGTATCACAGGAAGGACTCAGAGCTGGAAAGTCCACAGGGGAGAATGACAAAAGAAGACAAAACACCTGCCTCATCTCTAGGACAATAGAGCAATGTCACACAGCAGAGTCTGAAATGCAGGGAGGGGAGAAACAAAGCTCAGAAAAAGAATCCCATGACAAGTATCCCAGAAATATTTAATAGAATCATGGAAAGATTTTCGGTTGGAAAAGATCTTTCAGATCCTTAGGTCCAACTGACCACCTGGCTGCCCAAGAAGTTAAGTCTACTCTTTTCCAGACCCCCCTCTAGTCTAATGAACAGCCTGTGGGTTGCCTTACCAGTGACACATCCAAGAAGACAGCCCAGACACACTGCAAAAAGCCAGACACTCCTTCAGAAAGCAAAGGACACCGGTAGCACCTGGATCCGGTTGACTATTCTCTTTCTGCATTCCCATCTGGGGGGTTTGTCTGGACACCCCTAGGAAGCTTTCTCATCTCATCTTGGTCTCTCTTTGTTTCCTCCAGTAGCTTTCTTTGCACCTGGCTGGTCTCACTCAACAGGTCATCTCTCTTGCTCTGTTTCTTCTATCTTGTTGTTTTCATAGAAACATAGAATCCCAGACTGGTTTGGGGTGGAAGGGACCTTCAAGACCATCTAGATCCAACCCCCCTGCATGGGCAGGGACACCTCCCACCAGCCCAGGTTGCTCCAAGCCCCATCCAACCTGCCCTT